AACCAAATTAGTGGTACTTTGGCACAGACTCCAAAGGAGGTAAAGGTCTGAGCTGTAGCCAGGCCAAGAACTCCTCTAGTTTCAATCTGTTCTCTGCAAAACTCACAAAGGAACAGAGTGGCACAGTGAGCATCGATGCATATGAGCTTGGAACACTGACCATGCGATTAACACTTGAATAGTGGGTGGCTTTTCCAAGACTCCTTTATCAAGGAACAAAGGAAGTTACAGGTACAAGGAGTCTCACACATACCTTTTCCATCACATGTAATTGGACTAGGAGCCAATCACTTTATTCCATAAATATGACAGCCTAGGACAGCTACCTTTAAGCTCACCCTGCTAGACAGCGTGGCTGCATGGCAGTGATCTCCCCTTGAGCTGGGATACCTATCAAGGTTGCTACTGAGCAAAAGGCAGAGATAAGTGTCCCCGACAGGGGGAAAAAAAAACAAACAAAACCCAAGTGATGCAAAGGCAATCACTCACCATCCCCAATGGGAGACTGATCACAGAATCACAGAACGTTAGGGATTGGAAGGGACCTCAAAAGATCATCTAGTCCAATCCCCCTGCCGGAGCAGGAACACCTAGATGACGTTACACAGGAAGGCATCCAAGCGGGTTTTGAATGTCTCCAGAGAAGGAGACTCCACAACCTCTCTGGGCAGCCTGGTCCAGTGCTCTGTCACCCTCACTGAGAAGAAGTTTCTTCTCAAATTTAAGTGGAACCTCCTGTGTTCCAGTTTGTGTCCGTTACTCCTTGTCTTATCATTGTTTGTCACTGAGAAGAGCCTGGCTCCATCCTCTTGACACTCACCCTTTATATATTTATAAACATGAATGAGGTCTCCCCTCACTCTCCTCTTCTGCAAACTAAAGAGACCCAGCTCCCTCAGCCGCTCCTCATAAGGGAGATGCTCCACTCCCTTGATCATCTTTGTAGCCCTACACTGGACTCTCTCCAGCAGTTCCCTGTCCTTCTTGAACTGAGGGGCCCAGAACTGGACGCAATATTCCAGATGCGGTCTCACCAGGGCAGAGTAGAGGGGAAGGAGAACCTCTCTCGACCGACTAACCACCCCCCTCCTGATAGACCCCAGGAAGCCATTGGCCTTCTTGGCCACAAGGGCACAGTGCTGGCTCATGGTCATCCTGCTGTCCACCAGGACCCCCGGGTCCCTTTCCTCTACTGTCTGATGCCCAGACAGTCTCTGAGCAATGGCCACCCTGGAAGACAGCCCCTCACCTCTCTTCTTTCTATACCCCAACTTCAATGTTATACGATACAGGATATCCCGTTGGTGAATTCAGGCCAGCTGTCCCCGCTATGTCCCATTCCCAACAGCTTTCCCACCTCCAGCCTACTTGCTGTTGCTACATATAAAATGGCAGCAGACAAGAGCCAATAATTCTGAAATTAAATATGTGTCTTCTTACATGGTGACATTTTGCAGTATATGACAAGAGCCCAAACATTTGGGGCTTATTTTTATTCTGTGAGATACCATGCTCCTTCAGAGCTGCAGTTTGGCACAGAATTTGAGTCACAGCGTTCTCAAAACATTAGGACTATGATAAAAGAGGAGAAACAGCTTTAAATATTGACAGCACAGTTATGCATTGCTAATATCAGCCAGCATCCCTTAGCTTGAAAGATGGGCTTGTTTCCCTTACTAAAAAATGTACATATGAACAATAGGAGTCAAGGGCAAAATGTCTCTAAAACCAATCTGAATCCATCAATGGTTTGGGCTTTTTAAATGAGACTGAGATCTTCCATTTCTGAACCAGAATCTGTTCTGGGCCTATTCATCTTCCCTCTCCTGTTTTTCCTCCCTGCTCCCCACCCTTCCGCTGCTTGCAAGCACAGGATGGCTCTCATCTACTCTGCATTTTCTCCATTTTAATCCTTGCTCTATCAACTTTTCCTGGTATTCTTCTAGCTATGAAGGACAAAGTTTAAGTCTGAGAGGAGAAGAACAGAATAGTACAACTGACCATAGAGTAACTTTAATGGAGACTGATACACATAGGCTAAACATAGTAAAGGATGGTTCTATTATTCTTCTTTACTCCTTTTGTTCATAAAAAGTAGTTAAATCTCCATTATCTGGAGAAAACGATGTATGGGATAATTGAAGGTGAATGGAGATAAGTTATAGTTTATTTTGGATACAGTGTGCTGCTTCAGACATGTTTTTGTGATGTCCCAGGTTTCTAGGAGGCCTGTTAGCATATATAGCAATATGTAGTCTATGTGGTCCCTCTAGTGATCTGCTCCTGAGCCAGAGCTAAGAGGCTTGTGCAGACAAAGAAGCATATTGCAGCTACTGCCAACGAATTATACTGACTCTACACACAGCCTCTTTTATCTTGCCTTGAGTGAAGCAGCAGCCTTTTCTATGCTGGATAAACATCACAAGGATAATGGAGAGATGACCAAGTGATTTTTATATGTGTGCAATTCTCTGAGAGTAATACAGTGGCAAGATCACTATCAGTACCTTAATTGATTATTACTCATAAAAAAATGTGTGTGGAAACCGCTGTTGTACTAAAAGAACAGCACCAGCACTCAGTACCAGAAACAGTGGCCTTAAAATTGAAACACTAAGACAGTATTGGTCACAAGTGGGATGTGGATGCTCAGCAGGTGGCATATATGGGGGCGCGGGAGGCCTGGGGGGACGGGGCCGCGGTGGCTGAGGCTGTGTATCCCAGTCCGGATACCAGTAGGCATAATCTAAAAAACAGTGAAGAAACAGGTGTTAAGACCCATCAAACTTAGCCATGCTTACAGGAAAGCAATTAACAACAATTTGATACGTACTTATCAGCTTCTCACGTTCTGCATTTTCTGTAAAGAGATCAGAAGAAGAAATAAATGTGAGTATAATTCAGTGGTGGTTCTTAATGTGGAGAGGTAATAAGCCATTGCTGCTGCCCGGCTGATTGCACTTATGATGCCAGTCAGTGCCTGAAACCTCCTGTGAGGGGAAAGCAGGCCAAAAAGAGCAGGGCCCCAAGTGGCGTGGGGCTCATATTTATTAGTGGATTGAACGAGAAGCAGAAAAGAAGCAGCTGTATTAGGAAGGATTTGTGTCATGGGGAGGAGGGAAAAGCAAATAAATACAAACCATGGAATTTATTTAAAATTGAGACACAAACCAAATGCAAGTAGTTACAGAGAGAGAACTATAACTACTAAATTTATCACAGACATACACCTCTACTAAGAGCTTTGATGCATTTGCAGGATTCCCTACATGCATCCTATTGGAATTGCTGATGTGCCCTATAGGAGAATACGGTAAAGCGGGTTGTAGGATCTAGCACTTAATTTTTAAAAGCTCTCTTCCTCCTCTCCCTCCTCCTAGTCATTGAGATGTTTCTAGTTTTCCTGTGATGTGTCAGTCTGAGACTTCAAGATGAGTCAGCCAGGATATCACAGAAGGAAATAAGAATACCAAATGCTTAATTATTTCTACAGCTGAAACTATCTAGAGCTTTGCTAGTAGAGACCATCCCCATTAAACTTCTGTATAAAATTCATATTTTATTTAAGACATTGTTGCATGTTCTTTAATCTTTGTTTATTTAAAACACTATTTCTGATTAATTTGGGTCTAGGTATAATGACATAAAGGTCCACAGCTGCAAACTGCCGTGGAAAAATAAGCTCTCATGGCTATATTTCAGAATACTGCGGAAGTTAGAAATCAGTGTGCTTATTATTGGTTCAGAGCTATAGTTTTCTGGAAAATGTGATAGAACATACTAAACAAGCAAGAAAGCATAAGTTAAATATACCACTTCTGCTAGGAAAGAAGAACCAGATGAGGAATATTTGTTGAGGTTAGTTTTAGATTTGACTTTCTGATCAGATAAAAGGCAGAAAGTAGTCTAACTGATACTTCTTTTCATCAGGAACTCTGGCTTCTACCTATGAGAGCCTTCAACAGCAAAGCATTTAATTAATTCCTTCTTATACTATTCTTACTAGGCTTTGGTACTGTTTCTGTGTGTTGTCCTACTGAACCACTAGGTTCTTAGTGCAAATTGACTCTCTGTTATATTTCCACTGATAATGATGCCATTTTTATTTCTATGCAATTTTCTTAGTTGATCACTTTGGTCTTACCACAGAGGTTGTGTACACACTTCCTGTTACTGCATCCACTGCATGGTTGTCCTGCTTTATATGGTTTTCTTGGATAATTCCCTCTGCAAAGCAGAAGAACAGTATTTTGTTAGCTCAGTCATTTGAAAAGCAATTTAAATACATTGTTTCATCAGACTGTTAGCATAATTTATCATAAAAAGCTACTGGGGGGTGGAAACCCTTTATCAAAAAAACTGATCATTGCAACTGTTTGAAATTCCTTTTAGATCACATTAAAACTCAGTGGGGAACAGCATGGGGAACAGCTACCTGCTGACTCTTGCCACTTGAAATTAATGAGACTTTACAGGCAATACTGTAGTATTCCCTGTAAACATACAAGAATCTGCCTGTAGTCCCTCATTACGTATCTGTATTTTAAAAGCAAATCTGTATAAGGTAAGTCCAGAAATTGCAAGGTATGAGATAAACTGGAGAATTATCTTTCTTTCATTTCTTCAATTAAAACATCTTGTTTGAAGTTGAGGTGAGGCCATAGAAAGATGTAATCTTTCTTAAGTGGAAAGCTTGCACATTCCTCAGCAGAGGCGGAAGTCAATACAGACCTTATTCCATCACTTCTGGTTATGGTGAGGGCTCAGCTAGGATCTGTTTGCCTACTTTTTTAGGAAGGGATTTTCTGCAGCTCCAGCTATGTCCAGCAGCTTCTGCTCTCGATGGCTGGGGGAAGTTTCCCTTGGACCAGTGACATGTGGACGTAGCTTCTTCCAAATTTTGTTACAACTGCTCCCATTGTTGTTGGCATCTGATAACCAGGTCAGTTATGGGATATTTAAAAAGTAAAAAACCTAAATCCCAAATGCCATCATTAACTTACGCTGGCCCATAGTTGCAAACAAAATGTGCTGCTTGATAGAGTCCTGGAAAATTTTCAACTGTATCACAGAAATGAACTGCACAGCCAACTTTGTAACTCTCTGCCCAAACGACCTGAGGGGTAGAAGGAAACATGTAATGAGCCTGTTCAAAGACTGAAAAAGCAACAGCATTAAGGGAGGAAGGAGAAGGGAAGGATCTTGTGGAAATTAGAAAACAGCCAACACAGCAGCAACATCGACAACCCAAAGGGCAGCTTAGGCAAATGACTGACTGATAGATGTCTTTGCACTTATTATCTGGCTTCCCTGCAAATACTAAATCATCAGGGGGATAATCCCTTTCCAACATTACTGAAAATAGGATTCTGACTTCCCTGGGGCTCAGAATGTTTATTTCCCATCTCATGCAGCAATAAACTGGGGAGTGAAAACCCCTGCTGTAATTCCTGTTCACAAGCAGTCCGTTCCAGACCTGTACTTGGATCTTCTGTGAAACCATTACATTATAAACCATTGGGCATGTAAGACTCACCTGGGTGTAGTGACCACACATGTCAGTACAGCTATGAGTGCTGAAATCATAGCTGCTGACTTCATTAAACCAGTCACTGAGAGCCGCCTCCACAGAGAAGATGGTGGCTATGCCAGTCCAGATGTTTTCTCCAACAGGAGTAAAGGTGGGGTGCACCTTTCCCGGCATTTTAAGGTAGATATTGTGCTTAAACTTGCACTTCTTTGCCCACGCTTTTGCAGTCTTAGCTAAAGCAGCATCCCAGGACTGTAGAAAAGGAAGAAAACATAACACAACTTGCACTGCAGTGACTTAGCTGAATTAAAACATTGTAAACAGAAACTTGTAAGGATTCTTTTCCCCTTTCCTGCTTCCCATCCCTGCATCCAGTTTCTTTCTCTGACTTGTCATTGCTACTCTCACAGCAATTTTTTTTTCATCTTTCTCCCGTAGATATTGCAGGACCTGTAGTATCTCTCCACTGTCTTGTGGTAGCTGACTTGGTAAAATATTTAGAGCTGGATTGCTGTCTTTATGCTGCTATGCCTGAGAGGAGGTAACTGGGTGAGACCCCCAGCCATAGCAGGGTTTGAGGGACTTTATACCTAGGAGCTGTTGGCTGTCCAGGGATTTGCACTTTGCAGTTGTCACTTGATCAGATAGGAATTCTGTTCTGCTGGCCAGGGTAGAGAGGGGAAGAGTCACAGCTGCTCCCTTCCTCAGACCCTTCTGCCTGTTTGCTCTTCTCCCTCCTCAGCAAATAAAAGGCTCACTCATCTCTGATGGGCTGAGGAGGAATCATTCCCATTCTGAATGGCACAAGTGATAACTTGAGAAACTGGTCTGCAAGACTTGCGGAAAGATTTCATGCCACTGAATGACCAGGCAATAAAATGGCCAGTAAAATTCAGTGCAGAGAAATGTAAGTTAAGGGATGCAAGAAAAAAAACAATCACAAATTTTGACCTAGTATTCATAATTACAGGCTTGGAGATGGCTATTACCACTTGTAAATCAATGTTTAGTAGTAGGCTAAAAAGCAAATACAGTTTTAGAAATTCCTTGAGAGGAAATGGAGAGTAAACACATACCTATAACTACACCACTGTAGAAGTTCTGTTAAATACTGCATGCAGCACCCCACCTTAAGTAGGGACATTAGAACTGGCAAGGGCAGAGAGAACATGGAGAAGGATGATCATCCCCAGGTATGGAGGGCTTTCATAGAGCAACAGAAAGGGCTCTGGAGCTCCGATAACAGACAGCTGGACACCTGCTGTGAAGTACCTAAATAAGCAATAATTGCTTGCTCCTTCCAATACAGAGATCAGAGACTATCAAGTGAAGCTAGGAATTAACAAGTTCAGATCAAACATAAGGAGATACTTTTACGTGACTTGTGGTTAGGATGTGCAGCTCTTGCTGCATGATGCTAGGGATGATAAAAGTTTGCATGAGCTCAAGGCTGAAAAAAATCACGCAAGAAACATCCATCAAGAGCTGTTATTACAACACTTTTGATTCAAGAGGTTTCTGTATGTTTGTTCTGCTCTTATTCCAGGCTTGCTGGATCTTTGGTCTGAGCAGCGACGTTTGCTTTTGTGAGCTAGCATTTTAAATTAAACATTGTTTTTCAAAATGGCATGAAATTAAAATAATGAGTAATGTGAATTTTAGCCCTTTCCTATGAACTTCCTTTTATAGAAATTATTCATATTGTGCATGCGGTTTTGCATGTAACTTCCTTTTCAGCTATGCCACGCTGCTAGAGGGCTGAGAGTAATGACAAAAACTGGCTGGCATTACCTCTCTCAGCTATCTACCCACCTTTTTCCTTATGTATTCCACCAAGCAAGCTGAGACCTATCCATGGCCTGTCCTGATATCCATCAAATTTATAGGAAGCTCTGCTTTCCAGCCCAGATGTTAGAATCCCTACTCCCTAAACCCTGCTACAGCGAATGAAGATTGGGTATCTAAATGGATGTCCTGGCAAATCACTTTCTTCAACACATGTTTCAGATTAGAAGAAACAAGGGAAGGTGATAGATTTCCAACAGATCCTGTTGTGCAGATTGCCTATTCAGGAGCTTTTTAATACCAAACAGCTTCCCTGGACTAACAGGGAAATGAAAACTGGACTGACATAAAATAGATTACTGTCTCTGTTAGAAAGAAGTAAATTAAATGCTGAGAACTG